CCCCCACACACACACTAGAAGCCAGGTGCATGAAATTTGTGCATGGCGGGGGGGTCCCCTCAGTCTAGCCTGCACCCTCGCCAATCCAGGACCCCTCAGATTGGGCCTAAACCGGCAGTTGGACATCCCCCTCACAATTCTGGACTGCTGGCTCCTAATCGCTCACCTGCCTGCCAGCCTTGTTGCCCCTCACGGCTCGCTAGCCGCTGGCCCGTGACTCCCGGCGCTGCGGGGCCTGGCACTCGTGCTCCCCGGCGCTCTGCGCCCCGGGCCGCAGCCCCCGCTCCCGGGCGACGTGGAGCGTGGCCGGCCGAGGAGGCAGGAGTTGGCGCAGGCTCCGCTCACCCCCTCCCTCGCCGCCCGCGTCCCGCAGGTAAGGCGGCCGGGCTGCGGGCGCTGGGAGGGGGCGGAGGCCGGGAGGGAAGGGGGAGAGGGGGCGGGGATCGCGGGGCTCCCCGCAGTGCTGGGCCGGGACGGCCTCCGGCCCCCGCCCGCTGGTCCCCTGGCGCTGGCTTCCCGGGTTGGAGGCGAGACCCTCCCCAGCGGCGCAGGAACAGCAGCGACTTAGTGGCAACAAATTGCTTTGTGGTGGCGCGTCCAGGGCTCGGGAGGGGGTGTGTGTGTGTGTGTGTGTGTGTGTGTGTGTGTGTGTTCGTTCGCGCTGCTGACTAGTCTATGCGTTGTTTCACCGGAAAATAAAATCAGTTCTGGGCCGAAACCGCAGGTGGCCCCTTGGGCCCGCATGTTTTGGGGCTTGTTTCCTGGGACCCCGCGCGGTCCGCCTGGGGTAGGGTGCGCGGAGGGCTGTCGGAGGGATTTGTGAATGGTGCCTCGCTGCGCGCGGGGCTGAGCCTTGCTGATGTCAGGGAGGAGGTATCCCGAGTGAGCAGAAAGGCTATTTATGGTAAAGAGTTGTGAAATTTCTCGGGGTTTCTTTCAGTGTATCTGGCGCTTTACGCTCTCCCCCCTCTCCCATCTCTTCCCTCATTTTTCTCAGAATTAGCAGCAATTTTGCTTTTCCACCTTCTCTCGTGGGACCTGGAATACGAAGTGAATCACTTGTGTTTGTTTTGTTTGTTTTTTAAACAGGTGGAAAAAAATGCTGTTTAGAAAATCTCGTGCCCTTTCATGTTTTTGTACTTATTCTCTACTCCTCTTAACTCTTCAAGCCATCAGTAGGACCACAAGACAAAGTACCTACTTGATTTCAACAGCTTCATTTCTAATATCTTTACAGTTGAATACCTTCCCACTAAAATGTAACACATGCCGTCCACGCCTGCACCTAAGAAGGGCTATTAAAAATGATGTACACACATTTTACTGTAAAGATGTTTTTATTAAAAATGTTAGGAGGAAAGAGAAGCAGACACCTCGCTGGGTTTATATTGATTACTACTGACTCAAAGCCAGCTTTTAAGAGACGATCTAAAATTCTACTAACTTAGGCTACGACACAGTTTGTTTCTGTTTCTCTTTCTATTTGCTTTTTAATAAGTACAAATTCCAGAGACATAACTTGAAGCTTAGATATGACTTGGGACAGTGTCTACCAACTAAGCTTTAACAAGTTTATGTTTGTTCCTAAAAGTTAGCAGCCTGTGCTTTTACAGAGTCGATGACTGGGTTGTGGCTGAGGTGGTAGGACAGGGTTATTATTATTTTAAATTGGTATATCTCAAAGGCCTGCAGGCCAAGCACAGTCTTTATTACACTGAAGTTCCATGTTGCAACTACTCCTTCAATAATTTCATTGAGAAGAAAGAGAAGTAAACTGGTCACTCTATTGTGAGTGATTTGTCTATCTTTGATATTAATTAGGGAGCATCTTATTTTGATCAAAACATGCCAACTGTTTTAGTTTTTTTGTTTGTTTGTTTCTTTTTCCCAGTGTGAAAGTAGCTTACCACTTCCTTACCAGTCCTGTTCATTTTGAAGGCAGAGCGGAGTTAAGGATCTGTTATTTTGATTCGGTTATGTTCATATTGATTTGAAATACATTTTCAACACGGAGCATGTGCGGTTTAATGTATTACCTTCGGATGTAGACTCAGAGCCCCACTGAGTGTTGTTACATTAACTTTCCTGAATCATTGCAATGTAGAAGAAATAACGGGGAATTTTACAATGTACTTGATAAACTGTATGATACAATTACCAAAAAGTCATATTTATGGATATATTTTGTTTTTTGACACTCAGAGAATTGGCAACTATTTATTTTAATGATGCATTATTTATACTGTAGGATGTAAATTTACATCAAATTCATGAAGTAGAAAATGAAAATGTATGATGTTTTATATATAATACTCATTATTGCATTTTATTATTCAACATAGCACTCAAAATAGACGGCCTATCATGTGCAAGGCGCTATTGGAGGATTGTGGAGAACATGACTTCCTAGCTCTCTGCCCTTCAGGAGCTTACTCTCCATTTGGGAGGAATCTGACGCTTATGCTTGGACAGAGTTAACAACTCATGGCAATAAGAGATGGCATGTCTAATGAGGGCTGCAGGAGTTCAGAGCATGATAATAACATTTCATACCGGGTTTTGTTTGAAAAGGCTTCTGGGGTAGACAGACTTGCCTGGTCTTGATCTTAAAGGATAAATAGGATTAGTGGCTTAGGGATGAGAATATGAGGTACAAGATGCAAGTCTCTTGGAATTATAGAAAAGAACAAAAGATATGATAGTGAAGATAAGTTTGTTTTGAAATAGATTTAGCTATTGCACTTGAATTTGTTGTGCCAAGTGCAGGGTGAGTCTGTTTTGATGTACAACATTCTGTATACTCTATTCTTGGAATGAATTGTCAGTACATATTTTGTACCTTAGAAAATACATCTTTGACTTTATATTGCCTTTTAATGGAAAAAATGCTTAACATGTATTTGTAGACAATACTTACTCATTGAATGCTTAGTATTATATTCTTCATATATAATGTATAGCTTATTAAACAACATGTTTCCTATAATATTTTTATTTTAAATATTAACATTCATCCATATAATAGTTAATCTATTTTTACATTATTTTCCATGAAGGAATTGTGGGAAACTATTTCAATATTGTAGCAATAATTTTAAAGATATTGTAACTATCTTCTGATAAATAAATTGTATTAGTAATAGAAACATGTCTTCTCTCAGCATTCTGAACTTAGTTATTTTTTCTTTGTAAATATATTTATGTTTCAAAATACACAAAAATTTTAGAATGCATTTCTTCATTATAAGAATACAAAGGGAAACATCTGAATTGACTTTTAGCCTGTCTTTCAATATGACTCCCCAAAAGTATGTTATGGTGATAGTAAAGAAATAGTATAAATATTGGATATGACTATCAATAAATAACAATACAATTACTTTCAGGTTAGTTGAATTAAAAGTTTCATATATATTTTGTTGATTGAATAGATAAGAGTTATTACAAAAGTGAAAAACCCATAAGTCACTAATTTCATATCTGTGCAGGAATGGGAGGATTTCCAAGTTTGAGTAAAACCAGACTATCTGTTAATTGGTCTCTTTTGAGTTTGGTTTGAGGAGTTTGGTTTGTCATAAGTGTATCACTTTGATAATGTAATCTCTCCTACTGTATGACTGACAGTTCAGTATGATTTCCCTATTGGATAATGACAAAATCTGTTGGCTTTATATTGCAAATGTACACTTCTATCAAAAATATATTATCTTCACTATGCATGACTGTCAGTTAACAATAAAACATGAAGTCCGGGCTGGGATAAGCAGTGACAAAAGATGGGGAGATTAATGAAAAACACTATAACAAATGAAATATACTTCAATGTGTAGCTTAAACTAAATATAAAAATGTAAAATCGACTAATCTAAATTGCAATGGATACAGTACCAAGATATTATTAGTTTTTATTTTACAGTGATCATATTGCAATTTTTAAGTTATTTATTCTGGCTAAATAAAATGCCAGATAAACAGTGGTGGTCAAAAATTCATACTAGGTTCTGTGATATGATATTAAACAATTTTTAAAAACTTTCTCTTTAGAATCTAAACCTGTGGGTCGCGACCCTTTCACAGGGGTCGCCTAAGACCATCGGAAAACACACATATATATAACTACATATTGTTTTTGTGATTAATCACTATGCTTTAATTATGTTCAATTTGTAACAATGAAATTGGGGGTTACCACAACATGAGGAACTGTATTAAAGGGTCTCGGCATTAGGAAGGTTGAGAACCACTGGTTTAGATAATTGACAGATGAAGTTTGTTGTTTGTTGTTTGTTGTTTGGCCAAACTGTGGCTCTGTGCCTCGATTAATTTAAAACATAGCTTTTGGTTTTGCATTACTTACACTGTATTAACAATTTTTAAATTTCAATTTAGCTGATTAAAATTTTGAATACCATGACTTTGTTCTGAAACTAAAAAAAATCGAAAGGTAATTTTTAAGGAATCATCTTACTATCTAATGGCAAATTCTTAAGTTAGAGTAGTATTTCTCAAAATATGGTTCCCTGAGCAGGGCACCAGTGAATTGTTAAAATGCCAGTCTCACCACAGACTGACTGAATCAGAAACTCTGGGATGGGTTCTGGGGTGGGGTCCTCTATGTGATTCTTATGCCCTCTTAAGTTTGAGAAACAATGACCTAGGCAGTGGTCGGCAAACTCATTAGTCAACAAAGCCAAATATCAACAGTACAACGATTGAAATTTCTTTTGAGAGCCAAATTTGTTAAACTTAAACTATATAGGTAGGTACATTGTTATTAACTTAATTAGGGTACTCCTAAGACTTAGGAAGAGCCACACTCAAGGGGCCAAAGAGCTGCATGTGGCTCGCGAGCCGCAGTTTGCCGACCACCGACCTAGAGTATTTACAGT